AGATGGAGATAAAAGGGGTGGGGAGGGGGGAGGGGTGGGAGGGGGGGGGGAGGGGAGGAGTAGGAGGGGAGGAAGGGGAGGTTGGAGAGTAGGAGGTGAGGGGAAGGGATGGGGGAGTAGGAGGAGTGGGGGGAGTAGGAGGTGAGGGGAAGGGGATGGGGGGAGTAGGAGGGAGGGGAAGGGGATGGGGGGAGTAGGAGGAGGTGGGAGGGGGTGGGAGGAGTAGGAGTAGGAGGAGAGGGAAGGATGGGGTAGGAGGAGGGGGAGGGGGAGGGTTAGGAGTAGGGGAGGGGAAGGGGTGGGGGGAGGGGAGGGGAGGTAGTGGGAGGAGTAGGGAGGTGAGGGAAGGGATGGAGGAGGGTGATCAGGAGGGGAGGAAAGGGGGAAATAGAGGTAGGCGGGAGGATAAATGAAGGGGGAAGAGGGGGTGAATAATTGAAGTGAGAGGGGGAGAAGTTTAAGTAGAAGGGGGATGGGGGGGGGGGAGAGTGAATGTCAGGGGGGGGGGTCAGGGAGGAAGGTAGGGGGGAGGGAGGGAGAGTGCACGCGGAGGAGACGAGTGGGGGAAGAGGCGTTGCGGGGTGGGGGGGGGGAGGGGGGGAAGAGAGACACAGGAGGAGGAGGAGGAAGAGGTGACATTGGTGCCAGGAATGCTGATGTGAGGGTGCCATCTCAGTGCCTCCGGATCTGCGCCACACCAAGATGCCCGCGCGAGGTTAAGACGTCTCCGGTGCCATGCCCAGGTCACGGGGTATCTCCTCAGCTGGCGGCGGGCGGTGCCACAGGGCCGCGCGGAAGTGCCGGAAGTGTGAGGGACCCCGAGCAGAGAGTGACTGATGGGGTATGTGCGGGGCGGGAGGCATGTGTCCGTCATCGCACGCCCCTCCCGCGCAGACAGCGGGGGGGGGAGGGGGTGGGGGTGGTATGGTCCATGAAGGGCGGAAGGAAGATACATCCGCATAATAAAAAAAAAAGAAAAAAAGACAGTGAAAATGATAACAGCAGTACCAACATCGCCATCACGACCGACATCATTTTCGACATCATTAACTTCAACAACAACAAAAGCAACAACATAAAAACAACAAAAAACATTAACAACAAAACAATAACATACAAACATTCAAAACAACAACTACAGCATACAAACAACAAAGACAAACACATTAACAACAAAAACAACACACATTCAACATTCAAAACAACTACAGCAACAACAACAAAACATACAAACA